GATTGATGATCAATTAAAGTTGTAATATACATCTTTCTTCCAGATAATTGAAATGGACCAATTGTGTCAGAACTAACTCTGTCAAGACGACGAACTGGAGGACGTTGAGTAGTGAGATTATGTGGAATTTGCTGACTATTAACCACTAAACAAATTCGACACTCTTTGATTAATCTGGTTGACTCGGAATCTACTGGGATCTTCAACTTATATTTCCTCACATTAGCCTTCATCTTAGCAGGTGACAAATGATTGCAATTAAGATGATAATAATACCATGGTGAATTATGATAATGTTCAGGGATTAACTGATTCTTCAAAGCTTGTGGATATTTGAAATCTTTCTTCCTCTTTTTCACATTCTCATTGGAAGTCGTTGAATTGCCTTGTTGACCCGCAATAGATACGCCAGTGGTTGTATTACCTTCATTTATGGGGATGTTTGATTCTATGTTACTGATTCTTGGTGATGATATATTGAATACCCATGAAAAATCATCAAATAATTCTTCTTGTGATTTCTCTTTTGAAAAATTTCCGCGCAACGGTCCGACTAATAATCTACTTGATTTACATCTTGATCCAACATTGTATTTCTTGCCTGTGGCTACATTAATTAATGTTACTAAATTGCTGAATAATGTATTATAGCCTAATCTATAAAGGTCGTCTATAGAAACTAAATTATGATTCAACAGGGGAATGTATGAGGCCTTTAATTTAATGTCGGAACCGTTGACACGAATGTTGAGTATTCCACTTCCTTTCGAGTGTACCGCTTGATTATTTGGTAGTCTAAATTCATCAATATCATCTTTATCAAAATCATCCAATATATCCATATTACCAATAACTGTCGAAGTACAACCACTATCATAAACCAAGTGTGATTTCTTGAATTTAAGTTTCAGTTGCTTGAATTGTAGGATTTTCAGTACATAGATCAAATTGATTTTATTTTTTTTCAAATCAATACGTTTCACCTTATTCTTGGTGGTTTTGTCAACACAAGTGGTAAGTTCGTGTCGACTACCTGGCCCTTATTGGTCGATATCCATCAGATCCCCATTGGAATCTTCAGAATGATCTTTCTTATGCTTTTTAGGCGTTGGACCAGTCTTGTCATCTTGACCTTTCTTCTTTTTGTTAAAATAACCACCTTTACCACCTTTACCACCTTTACCTCCATGACCACCATTTCCATTATTACCACCATTACCATTGTTTCCACCGTTACCACCTTTCTTACCCTTGGTAGCATTGTTTCCACGGTTTCCTCTATTATTGTTCTTAGAAGAAGTAACTGAATTAATGTTTTTGGTGTTAATTTCAAGTTTGGGATCAAAATCCTTATGACGTCTAATGGTCGTTCTTAATTCGATCATGGTTGGCCAATGGAAGGTGTAGTTGACGTGGCGAAGATTTGTTTGTTGTTCACTTGTTTTCCAATGATCAACCCATTTCTTGTAGGTTTCGTACAAGATTTCACTGTAGATGTATGCCAAGTTTGCACTTTTCTTACGACATCTATCATAAGTCAAGACATACATAGGATCCATCATTATGATGAAATTGCCCATATCGGAAGAACCGTTGCATTCTTCTTTTGCTAAATTATATTCTGCACCAAATAAAGTGCTTTCATCCCCGAACAATAAAGTAGCATGAGCGGCTAATTTCGTGTTGAAATCATCGATGACATTGGTACTTTGAGTAACTTCTAAAAATTCTAATAAATCCTTCATTTTGTAACGTTCATTGTTGTTCTTCAATAAAAGATGAATATTGAATTTGTTTTCATTCGTGATGCGAACGAAAAACTGATTGTCCACCATTTGGAGATGAAGAGCGTTCAATTTAACATCTGTAGGATGTAAATAAAGACCAGGTACATTCTTGTAAGTTGATTCATACTTATCAGGGTTCATAAAGTAATCAGCAAGACCTGGGATTATACTCATGGCTTCCTCAACACCCTTTTTGAATTCACTGGCTTTGCTATCTGAAAATTCTGGGATAGCTTTAAATGCCTGACCAACTTGATCGTCAATAAACTTTGCAATCTTTCCTTGTTCAGTGATTCTACAGAAATCATCTCTATCAACCTTTGAAAGTTGAAGTGCTGCAAGTCTTGGTGGTTGATCTGCTTGATTTTGTTGATCTGGTGGTTGTTGGTTTGATGGATTTTGTTGTTGCTCTTCACCCATGTTTAATAATTAATTAACTAATTCTAATTCTCTAATTTGCCTTGTAGCTTGGTATAACGTTTGACTTCTAATCTGATTTAGTAACTATGTAAGTCACTACTTAATAAATAATAAATGTATATTAAAAAGCCTACCCTCCAACCCTTACATTCCCCTGTTAGGAGATTACTAAATAATCTATATACAGTGTCGACGAGGGATCGTCGACGAGAGAGAAAGAATTTTCTCTCTCTAGAGTTACCCGGAACCTATCCAGAATTCCGGTAACACAGAGACTGCATATACCACTAACGTGCTACATGCATTTCAGATCAGAACGTGATGGTCACATGACTATTTTTCCCTTTTAGACAAGAAAAAACCTAAATTTTTTTCCTTCGTGTTTGTTTACATTTACACTTTTTGTTTACACTTGGGATGTTACAACATTCTCCTGTTGCCCTCTACGTCCACTTATCCTTCATTTTTTAAAAAAATTCTCCTCTACGTCCACTTATCCATCTTTTCTTAATACTATATTATAACAATTGTTCTATTTTGAATTGCAACCGATTCGATCGTTCTTTACCTTTTGCAAACTTTCTAACTAAAGATTACTCCAGAATAACTAGAAAATGTATTTGGTGCTTAAACCCAGAGTTGCCTTCAGACCATACTTTAAGGTCTTCTCAAAAATGTCTGTTCTGCTATCAAGAATTAAATATTGAATGTTTTATTTCCATTTCTAGTGGTTCTGTCATGGTCAAGAAATGTCAAGATTTCCAGCGTCATCAACAAAATGAAGTGTTGCCTAATGAAAATGATGCTGTTCCTTTAGGGTTTATTCTGCGTTTTCATGAAATTACCCCTATAAGACTAGGTGTAATGGGTGCTGAATGCCCTTATTGTGGTGCTTTACACTGGAGAGATGAATTATCAACAGGTAGTTCAAAATATTCCAACTGCTGTAAACAGGGTCGAATTAAACTTCCTGATTTTGAAGAACCTCCTCCATTCCTTAAACAATTATTTGAGGGTCTTTCTCCCATCGAGAAGAATTTTAGACTGAAAATTCGTATGTATAATAGACTTTTCACCTTTACCTCCACTCGAACAAATCAAAATCCCAACCAAGGTTTTGCTCCTTTTATGTTACTTGATGCCTTTTATCAATTTCACGGTCCAATGGATCCTACGTTGGGAACAACTCCAGATTACGCCCAATTAATGGTTTATGATCCACAAGATGCAGCTGATGCACGTATTAGGACGGCTGATGATCTTCGCTACGGACTTGACAGAGAAATAATTACTCAATTATCTGAGATCATTCATCTGGAAAATCCTTTTGTTGGAATGTATAAAACTGCATATCAGGCAATGAAAGATAATCCTGAGCTGTCAGTTATCATTCCTGCAAACATGAGATTGGTCTATAGAAATGGTACCGATCCAAATACTTACAATTTGCCAGTGTCTGATGAGGTTTCAATGTTAATCGATATGAGCGCCACTTCTTATCAATCTGCTAATATTATTCTTACATTACAGAGTTCTCAAAAACAAATTATCAACTGTACACATCCTGCATTCTTGCCATTACGTTATGTTTTACTATTTCCTTCGGGTTATAGAGGTTGGCATCCAGGTTTAAAATTGACCGATGATGGTAGGTTGTCCCAATGCAGTTGGTATAGGTATCATTTATATCTTCGCCCAAATTCTACTGACCATCTTTTTAGATCTCAAAGGTTATTCCAGGAGTTTTTGGTTACTGCATGGGCTGAGATTGAACAAAACCAGCTTGCCTACATTCGGAATAACCAATCGAAATTTCGTATAGATCTTCTACACGGAGTTCAAGATGCTTTGGTGTCAGATGCTGATATGTCTGAAGTTGGTCATAAAATCATTCTTCCATCAAGTATAATTGGATCCCCTAGGTTTATGCACGAGAAATGTCAGGATGCCATGGCTATATGTAGATATCTTGGACATCCGTCTTTGTTCATTACTTTTACCGCCAATCCTCATTGGGAAGAGATCAAGAGAGAATTGTTGCCGGGTCAAGTTCCTTCAGATGGGCCAGATTTAGTTTGTCGGGTCTTTAATCAGAAATTTAAAATAATGCTTGACCTAATTACTTTAGATTTTTTTGGTAAATGTACAGGCTTTACATGGACAATGGAATACCAGAAACGAGGATTGCCTCATATTCATCTATTGGTTTACCTATCCAAAGAAGCAAAAGACAATTTGAATGATCCCTATGTTTTAGATCAAGTCATTAATGCCGAATTACCTGATGCGTCGGTTTTTGTTCAAGAGTTGTTTGACATTGTTGCATCTTCTCTTATTCATTCTCCATGTGGTGACCATAATACTAATGCGAGCTGTATGAGATTTTCTAATGGGACACGCCTGTGTTGACATCATTTTCCAAAAGAATATCAAGAAAGGACTATCATTAATGAACATGGTTACCCCGTATACAAAAGAACACGATCATCTCCTACTACAACTGTCATTGTTAATCGTCTTCCTATGACTGTTGGTGCAAATTGGGTAGTTCCGTATAGCCCTGCCTTGACTTTATTATTGAATGCTCATGTTAATGTTGAAATTTGCAACAACACTACCGCTATCAAGTACCTTCACAAATATATGCATAAGGGTACAATTAACAAGTCCCAGGGGCAATCTTTAACTAGAGTTGGCTTGGATTTATCTTCAGAAGCTTTTTCTCACGGTCAATTATATGTTGCACTTTCAAGGGTTACTAAAGCCTCTAATTTGCACGTGTTTTTAGGCGAGAACAAGAGAAAGACTCAGAATGAAGTTTATCCTGAAATATTCTCACCTTAGATATTTGTTACTGTTTGTTGTCATTTTTGTTAAAGACTCAGAATGAAGTTTATCCTGAAATATTCTCACCTTAGATATTTGTTACTGTTTGTTGTCATTTTTGTTAGTGTTTATTGTTATATTAGTTTTTTATTGTGTATTAATTCATTTGTTCTTATTAAATTTTTTCCTTCACTCAACCCTTTCACTCAACAGTGAGTGGTGGGCCGCGTTTTAGGCGGCCACTTTAGCTTGTAGGGTACAAAAATCTCGATTTTTCATTTTAGTGTATAATTTAATCGATACCGTTTAAAGAAAAAAAAAAAAAAATAAGTAACAAGCTTATCACCGTTTGCCATACCTTCCATTTTGATCGTTGATTAAAAATTGTTAGAATCTTAGTTAATTCATTAATTACAATAGATTTTGTTTTATTAGTTATATAGGAACCCTAATACTAATATAAGAACTGGAGTTCTAAGAACAAATAAGAAGAGCTCCCATATCATTCCAAATTATTATTTATATTTGTATAAGCAAAAGATCTGAGAAGAGCACCCCCTTGGTTGCTTTTATCAGAGATAATATATTTTTAAACCAAGGGGTTTTTTTTTTCAAAACACAGCATAATATTTATTAATTAAAATAAACTAAATATTATTTCTATACATAATTAAATAATAAAAACTGTTCTATGGAGGGAAACTACAAGACTAAAACCCCCTTTATTAAATTTTTTTTTTGGGGGTTAAAAATTTGAATTTACCAAGTACGTTTTGTAATATTGAACCCATCCTTTAAACTCATCATCTGAGGGCGGTTCCCTCAGTCTGATTCGTCGTCGGACTTTTCTAAAATGGTCATTTGCTTTTAGAAAGCCGTCGATGGAAATGATCTCTTTATTGGTTAATTGAATGTTACATATAAGCGTGCTTAATTTTAGTCCTTTTGTTTGTGGGCCAAATTTTTGCCATATCTGCTTGGTTACTGGACATAACACTAATTTGTGATTCACAAAATTGATTCCTTTAATCGACTGTCCGCATAGTTCCCAGAGTATATCTCCACGTTTGTAATGTGTCCAATGTCCAAGGTTCAATCGACGAATTGTATCTATGTCTGAAGGTTTACGAAATGCGTTGTGCCAACCCCCCGATATTCAGACAATATATATTCAGACAATAGCAGTTGTACAATTGTACTTACTTGGAGAACTATAAAAGGGGATGAATCTGCTCCTAAATGTTGAAATAGTTTACATAACTTTTCTTCTTTTATAATTTTTAATTACTTTTAAGTTTATTTTATTCCTACATATAACTTACCACGTGATCTCTAATTATCAAAAAAAATAAAGAATTAAAAATTACGTCATTGATTTAGTCAAACGCGACTTGGCTGCAAATTCTTTTTTGCTTAATCACACAGACATCTTAAACTCCCCCCCCCCCTGTTAACACATTTTATTTAAAAACTCATTTATATCTTTGAATTTTATATCATTTAATCCTTTAAATCAACTTCACTAGAAATACTTTTTGTTTCCACCACCAATTCCCAATGATCTTCTCCGTCAACAACTTCCCATTTAAGATCAACCCTGTTCGCAAAAGATTTAGATTAATCTTCATCCCCATAACAATATGGTTATTAACCATTACATATTTTATACTGAAAGGAGGATATATTCATCTTCTTCCTAATTCGCAGCAACCAGTACACGACATTCAACGACAAAATGCATTTACCACAAACCCTGAAGGTGTAGCTGTTACAGATTATACTACGGATCCTGTATATTTAAAGCTATCTACGGAATATAATGATTTACGAGAAATAGATGAAATAACTTCTGGGGTATATGAACAAATATTTAATCATCATTCAATAAGCTCAGTATTAGGCAACTTAGATTTTCATGAGCGTTGCCAGTTATTTTTCAAAAATTTATTAATTAATGATACAAATTGGTATTATGATATTCATAGAAACTGGAGAGTGAATTATGATACTGATAAATTTCGAGATTTTAAACAAGCTAGACTTGAAGAATTGAGAAACCAACAGGAAGAAGAGACCGAAGCAGTTGAAGAAAAACAGAAGGATGAGATAGAAGAGAAAATAAAGAAAGAATACAAGGGGATATGGAATAAGCAAGTGGAACGTACTTTCACAAATTGGGTTTCCGTATTCCGTATATTTAATAAATGTTACGTCACAGACAATAATAATACTCAAACTGCGCTGGTCAAGCGTCATATCAGTCATCAAAAGAAGGTATTAAACCTGGCAGGTAGTACTGGTAATTTCGCATCCACAGAAAGCGAGGATAGAACTAATGTTGGAGATGATGGAAGTTTATTTGAACATAGAGTATATCCTTGGTTATCATTTGATTACCCTGTATATGAGCATTGGACAGGAAGTAAATTCTATCAACCACCAAACATGAAAACCCTCAACAAACAAGAGAAAGCTAAAAGATCCCGTGAGTCATTCTTAAAAGAGTTTAAGGAAGCCACTAATGGAAGAGGAATAGTGTTAACAATCCCTGAATCTGACGTAGATACTACCGTTAATTTAATCCACTTATTACGAGCTT